CCTCGGCTGCTGAAGGGATCGGGCCACCACTTTAACTTTCTCCTCCTCCTCCTCCCGCCCTCAGCAAGAGAAACGGCAGCCCGCCCGGGAAATGGACACTTTGGCAGGGCTTGCACAGCGCTGTTCAAGCCCTGTCAAAACGCACGTTTCCCTCCTCGGCTGCTGAAGGGATCGGGTCGCCACTTTAACTTTCTCCTCCTCCTCCTCCCGCCCTCAGCAAGAGAAACGGCAGCCCGCCCGGGAAATGGACACTTTGGCAGCGCTTGCACAGCGCTGTGGAAGCCCTGTCAAAACGCACGTTTCCCTCCTCGGCTGCTGAAGGGATCGGGTCGCCACTTTAACTTTCTCCTCCTCCTCCTCCCGCCCTCAGCAAGAGAAACGGCAGCCCGCCCGGGAAATGGACACTTTATGGGAAAGTGATTAGGAAACTCACACATGCATGTACACACACATACACACAAGCAAAAAAAACCTCCAGGGATAAAAATAGGGTTTCCTGTCGAAGCAGGGGGTTGGACTAGAAGACCTGCAAGGTCTGAAGGTGGGCTTCAAAAATTGCAGCAACATGTCCGCTGACCCATTGCTGGATGGTATGGCCATAATGGGCGTGGCCTAGTTAGCCTCCTCCACCATGACAGGGGGTGTTCACCCTCCCCGGGCTCCAGAGGCTTTTCTAGAGTCCCCAGGAGGGTGAAAACTCTCCCCCGGGCTCCGGAGGCCCTCTGGAGGCCGGAAACAGACCCATTTCCTCCAGTAGGCCTATTTCCCCATCTCTTCAAGCCTCCACGCGGGCCCTATACTTACCTGGCATGATGGGCCGCATAGAGACTCCTGGGAGGGATGGGGTGGGAGGGTGTGGCCAGCCAGGAGTGGCATTTGGGAGTTTGCTGAACTGGGCAGAATCCTAGCTAGAGGATCGCCCAAACCCATGAATCCCAGCAGACCACCCCTCCCAAGTTCCCTTCCAACTCTGTTATTCTGTTTGTTTGTTTTGTTTTTTCTGTTTGGCCCATTCAGAAAAGTTCCCCTCTTTTGCTCTCTATGTATTATATGTGGCTTGTAGATACCCAAGTCTTCAGAAATCGCAATGCTGTGTTGAGTTGTATCTCACTTCCTTACCAAGAAATCCAAGGATGCTTATGATGACTTTCCCCTCATCATTTCCACTCGCTTTCTGCAGATAGAAGTTACGAGGACAAGGTCACATACACCATTGTCAAGCCCAATATCCCACCAAGGCAGGAAGAACGCATCTTAATCCAACAGCAACTGAAAAGGGGAAACAGTCCCATGGATGAAATGCAGAAACTCAAGCTCTGGCAAATGCATACAAGTAGAATGGAACCCACTCAGCAGGTAAATTATTCATAGATTTTGCCAATATTTATGCTGAACATTTGAGGATAACATTTGGACCACTGCCAATTAATGGGATTTGTATTCCACGAGTGTCAAATGTAAAATCCTCCTTCTGGAATAATTATTGCTATTAAATGTTCCACTGGGCTGTTCAAATGCTCAGAGAAAGCTCAGCAAAACGTCTTTTGGCTGCAGCAGTGTTCACCAAATTTGCAGGCAGGGGGATGGGGTGAAAGAAAATGTAAACAAATCAGACGTCCACCTGAGCTATATTCCCTTTGAATTGTCTTGATATATGGACAGAAAGTCTATAAGCTACTGGACAGCTGTTCAAACAATGAAAGATTGGCATTCAAAACTATGCCTTAACCATATTGTCACTAAATACGTGCAATAAAACTACTCTATTCTCTTTTGAAAGAGCTTCTAAAAAATTATCTGCCAACAACTGAATGAGTTGTGATAGAGAAAAAATGCAAGACATCCTGTCTGCTCCATATTAATATAGTACTGCATCTATATTACCTTATGGCACTAGTACCTTGCCAATATTTCATTCCCAAATCCCTTGAAAGGAATTTAAATCCAATCAAATCACCCAAGGTTCTTAGTTTTTTTGAGTTTATTCCATATATATTTTTGCTCTGTTTCTTTAAAGTGTTTAGAGTTATTGGCAGGCTGAAATAAGGTTGGGAAAATAAGGAAGAAATATTTTTGCCATTGGTCTAAGTCTGTGATGGTGAACCTATGGCATGTGTGCCACAGGTGGCATGCAAAGCCCTCTCTGTGGGCACATGATCCACTGCCCCAGCTCAGCTCTGCTGTGCATGCGCTCATGCCTCCTCTCTGCTGCGTATATGGGTAGGGCGCGTGTAGGAGACACGGGGAAGGGTGCATGTGGGGGGCAGAGGTGGGTTTCTGCCGATTCGCCCCAGATCAGGCGAAGCGGTAGTGGCAGTGGTGGGAGGCGCAGAAGCATCGCATGCACACATGAGTGAACCGGTAGTAAAATAAATTGAAACCCACCACTGGGATGGGAGGTTGGGCTCACGCGGGGAGGCCATGCATATATTGCATTATGGGTATGCGCACACTCTGTGCTGAAAAAGTTAGCCATTAATGGTCTAGGTTGCTTTCTGGGAATTATGAAGTAATTTTTAGTCCAATGGAACTGATTAAAGGAGAAAATATCAAGGCTGATCTCTTTAATTATTTTTGCCCTTAGGAAGTGGAGAGTGGTAATGATAAGGTTTCTTTTTTTTTCCATTGGACAATTTTTCCACAATTCATTTGGTAGCAAATAGTGAACTGAATGGAGGAAAAAAATATTTAAAAGGATTTCCTTTACTATAACTTTTATGGGCTATTAAAAATCTTGATTGTTCTGAATAATCAACTGCTCTGAATGGTTTTTTGTTGTCTCTGTGTTGTTTCTTATTTTTTAAAAAAATAAACCAGCTCAGAGATTCTATTCTCAGAAAATACCAGAGGTGGAAAAGATGTGTGGCAAATTACATTTTACAAGTATTGAAACTGTGTTATGAACGTGGCTTGAGCTAAATTAGTAAAGTCCATGGAAAGACTTCTCTAGATTTTTCTAGAATGTTCTACGCAACTGCCAAATTTTGCCTGCTTATTATCATTCTAGGTGGAGGAGTATTTCAAGGAGCAACTCAATACAGATGAAGCAAATGGACTGTAAATTCCTTTACAGCAAGGATCATCAAACTGTGAATAAAGTCCTTCAATCAATTGTGGGAAAGTTGTTAAGGAAATAACTGAACTTTGATAGCACTGGTGTCTTGATTTATGCATAAGAATTTATCTGGACAGCCTTTGGTTTATTCTGACATGTATTCATTCTGACAGCTGTTGCAGGAACCTAGAAAACACCCTGGCAGGCCTCTATAGGGGCTATTCCCCAATAAAGAGAAAGGATAAATTCTTTTGGACTTGGTTTTTTTTCATAGTTATGCAACTTATTTCTTTTGTATTATTTATTTAGCATATGTTGATGTTACAATTAGCCAAGAGGCTACAGGGTGAGTACAAAGTAGTGGCTGATGATTCCTTTTGTATCTTATTGGTACATTGGAATGTAATCCTCTACCAAAATCCAAATGAAAAAGGAAATGTATCTGTTAAGGGAAAAAAATCCCAAAATGTTTACATTAGAGGAATATTTGAATAAAAAAATATTCCATAGGGGAAAAGCGGTGGCAAAGCTGCACGTTTTGTGACTATGTGCATCATACAAAATGTTTCTGTTATACATAATAAAAGGCAAAACATTTGTATACTAACACCTTCCGTCCAAATTACCAAAGATAAACTCAGATTACCAATTGAGTAAAGATCATTAAAATCAAATCAAATGAAATCATTATTGCGATAATAGACTCACGACAAGGAGGGTGAATTACAATCATTAAAAATCATAAAGAATCTAAGAGAATTCTTGTGGGTTTAGAGGAGCATAAAAGGTTACCATGTGGGAAGACTAGCACGTTTTAGAGCATTGTATGTGGCAAACTAAATGCTCATTAAATCTAATTTATAGGTCATCAAGTTGTGATTTGATGAATTTGGAGTGCTGCTGAACATTGTATGTTGTAGCAGTGTTGATATCTGAAAGCAGCAGGGTAGTGTATATGCCCATGCATACACACACACATAAACACACACACACCTCTATTGGATTTTTTTTTCATTCCTGATCAACAGAATCATTTTTGTTCACAATTCAGATGATAAATCATATTACAGGTATCCTTCACTTACAACTGCAATTAGGATTCAACTTCCACATGCTTGTTGCGAAACCCCTGTATCACAATCATATGACCACAGAGACACTGGGATAGAATCAAGATAGAATCAAGATCACGTGAAGTGTTAATACCACTTTATAATTCCTTGGTAAGGCCACACTTGGAATACTGCATTCAGTTTTGGTCGCCATGATGTAAAAAAGATGTGGAGACTCTGGAACAAGTGCAGGGAAGAGCGACAAAGATGATTAGGGAACTGGAGGCTAAAACATATGAAGAAAGATTGCAGGATATGTCTAGTGTAATGAAAAGAAGGA